TTTGTTTGTTCTTTCATCATTATCATCATCATCATCAGACCAAAGAGATGACTGCACAGTTGATACGGTGCGGGTGGGGAACCGGTTGCCGCACAACGTGTAGCTGGTTCGATCCTCACACGTAACAACTGTTTGTGTGATCCACATATAGTTGGCCAGGACTGGATGTCATGTATATGTTTGTAAACGCACCCACGACACAGGAGAAAATCCTAGGCAAAGGTTTCTTTAAAATAAGAACTTCTTTTTGACTTAGCCCTTAATCCTCATTATTGGTAGACAGCTTAGGTAGTTAGGTCATCAAAGATTTAAGGAGTACTGCTGTACATCACTGCTCTGCCTCTGTTGGCCAAGTCGGAAGTGCGATTGCCAGACAAGGGGTCTCGGGATCGATTTCCGGGTCGGGCAAAGTATTATTGGGTTTTAAACAAATCTCAGTAGTAGCACGGAGTTGTGCCCGGTATATGGCAATAGGCTCACTCCCTTTTAAATGGGCTCATAACATAAATAGTGAAATGTGGGTGTTACATTAAGTGCCGTAATGGTAATGTGCACCTCTACCTATCCCTTCGGGGATAAAAGGCTTGATATATTTGTATGTTATGTGCAGTACATAACTCGTTGATCCCCGTTTTAGGACTTACCCGGGTCTCACCAGGAAAGTACTATCATATTAAACTCATATTAAATCTCATATTAAACCTACTCTGTCGGGGAGAAACAAATTCTCTTCAACTTCAACAGAGCAGGCAGAGGTCAAATATTTGGTCTTTACCAGTTATTTTTATTAGTTCCATGCATGAGGGGCGTGACTCAGGGCGACAATTCTGCGTTTGCGCATTCTGTTAGTTATAGTAGGATGTCATCATTTTTATGATTACGTCGTCAGTTTTATGTGTGGTGACGGTACAGTAGAATATTGTAAGAACCGATTGAGGAACTATACCGGGAAGCATCTATATCTTTTTATGGAATAGGGGACAAACAAGCAAACGGTTCACCTGATCACCTGAGAGACGCACAGAGAACGCTCTCAACAAGAAGATAGCACGGTTGATGCGGTGCGGGTGGCGAACCTATCGGGTAGCATATATCTCTTTTTATAGAATAGGGGATAAACAACCTGGATCACCTGATCAGCGCTGGTCGTGGGCTATAACACCAAAGGACACACAATTGACCGTACAGAGAACCCTCTGAACAAGAAGTCTGCACGGTTGATGGCTGCGGGTGGCGAACCGGCTGCCGCACGACTAGTAGCTGGTTCGATTCCTGCAAGAAGCAACTCTTTGTGTGATCCACAAATTGCTGTTCCGGGTCTGGATGTCATGTGTATGTAAACTTGTATGTTTGTAAACGCACTACGACTCAGGAGAAAATCCTAATGTGGGGTAACCTTTATAAAAAATGAAAAAAAAAAACAACGCTGCAGATCTCTCTAATAAACCTGAATAAAACACCGTAGGTAATCACATTTCTACTTATAATACAATCAGATTAACAATACCAAATTAGTCTAGTCCTTTTATCCTACCGTTTGCACTCCAATCACTTATTTAAAAACTTCATCAATCATATGAAAAAATGGATCGGTCAGTTTGTATGAAGCCATCACGTGACCAACGTCAATTTAACCGCTATTGTTAACACATTTACTATAATTACTGTAAAGTTAGTGCTGTGACAATGCTTGGGGTGGTATCGCGTTGGGAGTTTATTGAGACTGTCTATACAAGACTATTGTAGTAACAGTCTAGTTTTCACCATAACCCTGATACAACCCTTCCCTTGGGTGTCATGAGAACTGAACTGTCAAAGACCGCGAGGACACCGGT